GACGGAATTCAACAGGAATAAGATTAATTTGTTTTAATCAAGATTGTCTTTGATTAAGGATAGATTAAGCAAATATACATTTATACTATGCGATTACTTAAATCACATCCAGTTTTAGGACTAGTTAACAGTTACATGGTTGACAGCCCACAACCGGCAAGTCTTAGTTACATGTGGAACTTTGGTTCATTATTAGGAGTTTGCCTAGTGATCCAAATCGTAACAGGAGTAACACTTGCTATGATAAGGGGCGGCTGCGTCCAATTCAGGACGTCAGCCGCCAGTGCGTAGCATAATATTCTATATGCTGGAACGTCTTTAATGTTTTAGTACTCATTGAGTAACAATCTAAAACTAGACAACTAGCAGGAATTCCCTCAGCGACTACATGAATATAAATACTGTTTAGTATTTAAGATATAGTCCATTTTTTCTCTCCCCCGTTCCGACAGGGGACAGTGAGATTCAAAGGCACTTACAAATCCTAGATCCTAGTACTGCTCTGCATTACTCTGGTGACTTTTCAGATCTTAACCTTCATACAATGTTAATGCCCTGGTTCATTACAGGACTTATTGACGCTGAAGGGACTTTTACTTGAAGTTTAAGTCGTAATAAGAAAGTCAAATTAGGTTGAACTATTGCACCTCGCTTTAGTATTTGTCTTCACATTCGTGACTACACTTTACTTCAAGCAGTGCAGCAGTTCTTTGGAGGTATTGGAGTGCTAAAAACTTCTGGTAAGTTCGTGTACTACGATATTAATTCAGTACAACAGTTAAATGTGCTATTTAACCACTTGAGCTTATACCCACTCATGACCTTTAAACGGTACATGTATTACATCTTCTTAATGGTATTTGATATTTACTCTAAGAAGGAACACTTAACTCCTCAAGGGTTTATGTTATGTGTAGCGTATATTAATAGTCTGAATAAGGCTATTAAACCTCAGGTTCTTAGTACAATTACTGGATCATACGGTCCATTACCAGAGTTGGTACTACCGCTTATTCCAACGTCTATCTCTTATACCTTAAATCCTTATTGAGTTTTAGGATTTGTATGTGGAGAAGGTACATTTACTTTCTTCAAGCGGACTCGTACTAATGCTGCTGGCATTACTATCTTTGATTACACCTTTGTGTTCGAGACTAGCCAATTACCTTTAGATACGTCATTACTAATGGCTATTCTAAGTATGATTGCACCAGGAAACCTATATTCACATGTAGGATCTGTATCTCGAATTCGAGTGGCTAACATGGATGTTCTTCAACACTACGTCTTACCATTCTTTACACATTATCCTTTACCGGGGTATAAGGGTCTTCAATACCAAACTTGGCTTAAGGCCGTAGAAGTGGTTATTGCAGATCGTAAGTATAGCAAAGGACGGGAAGTTATCTTAACCCGTTTAGTCAAAGACCTGGCAGCTTTATAACTCACTATATAGGGAAAA